AGGGTAGACTACCTTAGTAGGCAACTTTTCAGCCAATTATGCCTATGAAGAAAAAAGTCGGGTCACACTGTGCTTACATGAACCAGTGCATGTAGTCAAGAGTGCATGGAGTCAAAATGCGGTTGGAAATAGAGTTGGAAGTAAACGTGAGGATGAACACAAGATTACATGTGTGTGCCATGATTCGGCACTGTTGAAAACAAATTGTGTTTTCACCTCCGGGTGGATAGTATTGTACGAGTTACTCCGCTCGAAAGTGCCCAGGAACAAAAAAGTAGTGGCTTTACCGCAGCGCTGGAGGACTCGAGAGACGCGAGTGTCGTTTCTCGATTTCGTCAGCGCTGCCGTAATTCCAGCCACGCCTAACCATAGCCAAACGCGTTATTTTCTGCGCCCTCCCTCTCACTTCTTGTGGTTCCCTACCTCACAGTGCGCGTTCGCTGCGGGATTCTGATTTTTACCTAAGTGCTGCATCTTGGGGATAGCGTGGGCAGATTCGGGGAGACGGCATCCGAATACCACAACCTTTCGGCCCTGCACTTTTGAGCGGAAAACAATGCTCCACTGGCTATGGACCGATTCACCTCGCACATGAAAAGAACCGCCCTAGGAAGTGAGTTCAAAGCTTGTCATTGAGCAAAAACTGCAAACGCTCGTAAGGAAGAACACGCTCACCATGACTTCGAGGATCATATAGTCGTGGAACAGCGTCCGTGCTACTACTGATGACTAAACCTGTTTTACGATTCACATCTATGCTCGTGAAGGCCTTCAATCCACGAATTCGCGACACTTCGCCAGCTGAACAGAATAACTTCCAATAATATTTAAACTTCAGAAAGGCCAGAACAGTGATCTTCAAAAAAGGAAGAAAACAGCGAAGAGAAGCGATAGAGAGGAGAAATCAATATAGGAACCCACCCAATTGCAGATCCCATACAGCGATGCTGTGATCCCACGAAGCAGATATCACTTGACTGTTATTATAGGAGCACCACTTCAATCCTACTACGGCATCTTTGTGGCCAGCTAACGTTACCATTGGAACCTTTAAAAATACGTTTGGTCTGTTGAGTTGAGTAGAGTCGTTTGGCAACTCGTGTGTTCGAAAATAATTTTACCTTCGTGATGAAATTTTCTTTCCGTTTCTTCGGCCTGTTATCGTTATTTGCATCTTTTTCGAAAACTGTTGACTCATCGCCTGAGGATGTAAACGTTGCACACAATGAAGAAACCTATCGCACATTCTGGCACTACCACAGTTCAGATAGTCCCACAGCAATGCGCTCGATTCTCAGTTTAAAGACAGCCCCCGTGCTCGAGTAGTACATGGTCGTCCTTCCTTGTGTAAGTAGTACAGCCCCAAGCTAGAGACTGTCCCACTCTCGCGACTCCACAGCGAGCGAGGAGCGAGCTACAGCCGCTGAAAGTTCCAGTTCTGACGCCCACCCAGTTGGACCGCCCACTTGCTAGATGCCCTCGCGACGGCGGGCAGCTCAGTGTTCATTTGTTGGGGCGGCGGGCATTAATCGGATTTGCATGTCGTTTTTGGTGTCCGCGCACGTGCCCATGAATGATTCTGCTCTTTTTTGAAATTTCATTCATGAGGAGCATATACAGCCAACTCAACCCATTTCGCAAGGTAAAACGCCTAAAAATCACGAGCGACCCAATTTTCGTGGTGCAAAAGCGCGGCGCATCAAAACAACCTAAAGATGGCACGCCTACGGTAACCGCTAAACTCGTACGCCGTGTTTTTTAAAGCTTCTTCCTTTTCGAGAGTCTTTCTGCCGTGTTTTTGTTGTTTTTCACATTCTTTTCTTCGCATTGAATGATATCCACTACTAGAGATGTGATAAAAGGATTTTTGTGCCAGGGGTTGCATACAGACCGCAGGCGCGTGTGAGTGTCGGGGAGCAGTTTTGTTTATGGTGTTCTCGAGGACTCTTCTTACTTTTTTCTTCGTCGTGAAATTACTTACTCGATGATGTTTCATAACAGAAACGCAACTACTCATGATACTTTTATCGCGAGAGCTGTCTTTAAGAGATCCCTTCTCCTCTCCAAAGCCGGTGCTTTAATGTGGGGCAATAAAGAAAGTGGCCGGCTCCGTCTCTGCTGTGTAACGATTGAGCCGCCACTTCAGCACATTCAAGCTATAGAAGTCCTCAATCTGAATCAAACCTCATGCTAGTTAGGAACATAGATCAGGATATACAGGAGACTCACCCTTATTGCGAGATTCCCAAAACTTTTGACTATTCGAGTCAAAATGCACCAGAGACCAGACGAGTGCACTCAGGATTAACATCTACACACTCCACGCTTCGCTCATGACCACGGAAGACAGTCTATAATAGTGGAAAAATAAAAATAAACTTTTGTGTTAAGACTTACACTCCCCTTTTCATATCGACTTTCATCATTATTTTCAGCATATTGCAATACACAATTAAATGTAAAGAAGCAAACCCGTAGATGCTAAGCAGGGCAACGCCATCGCGCTATCAATTTCCGCTAAATACGACCCCCCCCCCCCTTCCTCTAAAAAGGTCTCGATACGACAACCCCACTGTCCGCCTGCTAATCTGGTAGCAGAGGGCCCCTACCCAAAAATGAAGATCATGCTAAAAATAACCGACAGAATATGACGCGACGTATCAGGATAAATATGAGAAAGCGATGAAATAAGGCCTTAATCAAACACAACATAAAAAGTGCAGTAAATCATCAATGAGCATCAAAAAGAACTCAGGGAAAGATGAAAATGAAAGTGACAGCAATTGAATAGCATATTTATTGTTCCGGCTGGTTTCATTTCACGTGCAGGCGCTCTTACGCTGTGGTAACTGAGCAATTATTTTCACGGCCATGCAGTCCTCAAGCGCAAGCACTCCGAAATTACCCTTATTTAAACGAACACCACTGTTCTCGTGAGGGTGGGGCTTTTGTAGACAGAGAAGCAGGATTGTGGAGGGCACTAAGGCTGGCCACTAACTTACGTGATTCGAGGCGATTTTCGAAAAGCATCTTTTTAGTATTTTTCTCCGTTGTGATCCCGTTGTGATCCTTGACTTCCACTTACAAGACTCTACGCTTTGTCAGCTACAACAAGCTCCTTACAAGGCCATTCGTAAAGAATAAAACGGTACCTGAAATTTCGAAGGCCTCCACTTTCTAGCAAGCCACTTTCTATTTATCCAAGCCTGTCTACTCGATAAAAATCCCCCGTTTGATTTTACGCATCCCCTTCCAAATCAACACAGAAAACCCACCCCTCCACGACGTCATACGGCACTTCCATTCATTTAGAAGATCTTCTGATGCTTCCAGAAAGCACATGTTTTCGGCGAAGGGTATCAGAAATAGTTCACAATGCGCGTCATGCACCAGGCTTCTCACGCAGGGGATTGGAAGGTACAACTTCTAGATAGGCCCTTCTATCCGTGTCAGGAGATGTAGGTCCGCTGATCAGAAGGGTTCGAGTGTAACTTCTCACCTGATTTATTACTTGCTTGACGCCCCCCCCTACGTTGTGGTATTTCTGTGGCGTATTTCTTCCAATTCGGTATTTGTCTTGTGGTATTTCTTTCATTGTATTTCTTGTCATCGCCCGTTCCCCACTTCTGCGCTGGCAAATCGCTTCTGTCTTGCGTGTGTCTCTTCAGGGGTTCTTCACATGGATAAATCTTTTATCATTGAAACTGAATGAATCTGGAATATCGCTGCCGTGTTCCTTCCTACAAAGTGCGCTGATCCCTCCAATCTCGAGGTCAAATACGACCTTCCCCACTGTTGTGCTCATCACAACGATGGCGAGCCGCGGCTAAGGGTCTCTAGATAAGAGGAAAACAAAAAAATTTCCGTATAACCCTAAGGAGCTTCCGAAGTAGGCGCTAGCATTTACAGTGTCAAAAACGAACATCTACAGAACAGAGGACAGGCATCACTACTGCTATTATGAGGGCCGCAGCGCCTTCCCTACATACTGCAAAGCCGCTAAAAAAGTACAACATCAGAGGAATGGCTGGGCACAAGGCCGCCCTACGATAAATTTCAGAGGAGTGCAAAAATTTCTGGAATGCTCTGGAAGGACGATACTGTGAGCGACTACAAAAACTTATTCCCATTCAACGAAGACGTAGACGTACGCCGCTTTAGAAGAAGAAAAAAAGGAAGAAGGGGGTCTGATTTGAACGGATGAAAAAGAGCGCAGTTCTGAGACCCGATTTTAAATTACATTTTTAATCCGGTGTAGAGGACTAAGAGCGGTCACTCGAGCAAAAGGCAAGACGCTATAGCACCATGAAGTTGCATACAGAAGTAGTACACAAAAAACGAATAATGCACAGAACATACCTTCGGCAACAGAGCGCCATCTTCTGCTTCCAAAAGGGTCAACATCCGCTTTTCGCCACCCACCACAAGTTGACTGCCTTCTAATTTTTTGGGATCTGGAAGGCATTACGTCACATCTGATGCTTAGTAGGAAGCTATCAAGAATAATTTAATTCACACCTGAACCGCTCGCGAGTAAAACGCTACACTTGAATGCACTTCCTTTGTCTCGGTTATTTTCCAACACGGTTTTACCCTTCTTGTCTATGATTATGATTTCACCACTGTATGTCGTAGAAAAGAAGCTGAAATAAGGTGTTTCTGAAGAAGCTTGCTGAACTTTGCATGGAAATGAAAAGTTCTAAAATCGTACTGAGAATTGGACACGATAACAGAGGAAACCCAGTCAGGAGCTTGTATATCATGCAGCGGTTTTGGAGTTTCTTTCCCGAGCACACATTCTATTTTGATAACGGTTTCCTGAACTAGTAAACACATCACAAACAGCTCAAATATATTTTCTAATGAAAAAGTTTAACGCACTGTTTCTACGTTGTATTCTTCAATAAATTCCGCTAGAGATGAACGAATAAACGTTTCTCCGACGAGAAATTCGAACCGTCGTTCGCTCCACTTATCTATAAAGCGAAATTCGTTATGGCCGCGACCATACTTTGGGTCAGCGTACGCCAGAGTATGATAGCGTTTCGAGATAAGCCAACGCCAGCGACTAGGAAAGTATGGATATCGACCTGGAACGCCGACGTATGCCAGCATTTTCGCGATCAATTTTACCTTGAACAGAACTTCCGCGAAAACGCTGCTGTACTCTGGTGAAGCTGGTAACGCCGGCGTTCGCTGGATCAATATTCATAACTTCAAGTCGCTAGTGCTGGCGTATGCTCGAAATGCTGCCGTACGCTGACGCAAAGTATGACTGCAGCCTAAAGCCGCGTTCATAGCCTTGCGACCGTGAAGAAATGCAGAAATGCGGAAACTGCGGAATCTGCAGAAATGACGAAAAGCAATAGATACGTATCGACTTGAAGAAATGCAGAAATGCCGAAACTGCAGAAGTGCGGAAAGTGCAGAAATGACGAAAAGCATTACATACGTATCGATTTGAAGAAATGCAGAAATGCCGAAAGTGAAGAAATGCGGAATCTGCAGAAATGACGAAAAGCAATAGATACGTATCGATTTGGAAAATGCAGAAATGCCGAAAGTGCGGAAAATCGATACGTATCGGTTGCTTTTCGTCATTTCTGCAGATTCCGCACTTCTTCACTTTCGGCATTTCTGCATTTCTTCAAATCGATACGTATGTAATGCTTTTCGTCATTTCTGCACTTTCCGCACTCTGCAGTTTCGGCATTTCTGCATTTCTTCAAGTCGATAAGTATGTAATGCTTTTCGTCATTTCTGCACTTTCCGCACTTCTTCACTTTCCGCATTTCTTCACTTTCGGCATTTCTGCATTTCTTCAAATCGATAAGTGTGTAATGCTTTTCGTCATTTCTGCACTTTCCGCACTTCTGAAGTTTCGGCATTTATGCATTTCTTCAGG